AATTGTGTTCTAAATGTGTATCTTCTTCATATGTCAAAATATGCCTTACTTTTAGAATCACACATACATACACACACACAATCAAATAGTGTGGTAAACTACATGATAGAAGTTCTTCTATTTTCTTCTGATTACCACCCACTATGATCATACCTATGGGTTGTCTGTTGTGGACAAGTGGTTCAGAAGGCTTTTTTTTGGTCCAAAGACATGATTTTCCATTTGTGAGATGGAACAGGTTGGATCTAAGTCCTATCTGGAGCTTCTTACATTATAAGGAAAGGCAGAAAGACTTAGCGAGAATTCATAGAATTAGAAGTGAGTTGCATGTCTGACTTTTAAATCAGGAAGCCTTCCAGCAGAGCTTACACTCTGCTCTAGACACCTGTTCTCCTGGATCTGACTAAGGACCTCCTACACTACCACGTAAAATATTTTTCTGTTTGTTAATTCACTTTTTAAAAAAGTAAATCCTAGGGCTGGAATGATAGCACACTGGGTAGGGAACGTGCCTTGCAAGCGGCCAACCTGCGTTCAATTCCCAGCATCCCATATGGTCCCCCGAGCACCACCAGAAGTAATTCCTGAGTGCAAAGCCAGGAGTATCCCCTGTGCATCACCGGATGTGACCAAAAAATAAAATAAAATAAAAATAAAGCCAAACACTCAATCCTAGAGTAAGCAATGTGAAACCAGGTGGTCAATAGACCAGCTATGTGTAACATGCAGCATGCAGGGCAATTTAATTTTTAATACATAGATACTCATAGGCTCCACAGGCATCAAGTAAACACATTCCACTGGAAACCTTCTGTCTCTACAGTGGGGTGGTGAGTAAGATGTAGGTGGGAAACACCGGATGTTGTCAAAGATCCTATCTAAAGTCTCCCTCATGGTGATTCTGAGTGTGTCATTTGGGCTAGTGATCGCATTCTCCCTCACTCTACAGAGTCCCCATCCCTTCGCAGAACTTGTGGGCTTCTTGAATATCCTCCACAGGCACTTACTACAGGGGTGCAAAATGGGTCACATGACTACAAGTCCCAGATATCCCCTTGTGAGATGGATGGTGTCAAGCCAGTAAATAGACCTGGAGAGGATAACAGTGCCAGTGTGAGAACGAGGTGTTCCTGTGTGTTCCTCCAAAACACTTGGAGTCGTGCCTGGCTTAGTCCATGCACCAATTGACTCTAGGTACCCCAGTTTTATCAGTGAGGATGAGACTTCTCTCATCTCTCATGCGGTGTTAGTTATAAAGCCAGGATGACAAGTGATGGTTATAGACTGCAAGGTTTAGGAGACTCACATGGAGAATTATTAGAAAGAACCCAACTCAGATGCAAATATCTGGAACCTAGGGATCTACATCATGTTTTATTCTTTCACTGTGTGTGGTGGGGATGAAGGAGGCTCCCAAGCAGTGCTCACGGTTCCTAAGGATTACTCCTGGCAATACTTGGCCAACTGGGACAGTTCAAAGCCTGGATCTGATGATGCAGTGCTGCTGATGCTCGGGGACCATCAGGACTGTACACCCTTGTGCTCCAGGTACCACACCATGGGCTGAACTTACAACTTGCACAAGTCAGACATGTGCCTCTGACCCCTAAACTATCTCCCAGCCTCCTAGGAACGCAAATGTTAATGACTTCCCAGGGGATTCTCATGCAGGTGATTGACCACTCACTGAGAAGTAGCACTCGTGTTCTTAAGACTTCCCTGCTCCCCCACATCCTTCCCAACAACCTGCCCCCATTCATCTCCAGAGTGCTCCCCTTATTCTTTCCACAAGGGCTGCACCTTTGGTGCTATGTAAATGTGCCACCTCACATTATTTCCATCCTGCACTGAAAGGCTCTGAGAAGCACTGGCTTGACTGCAACTGGCATTGCTCTCTCACTTTCGGTCAGGAGGGGAGGGAGATAAAAGCAGTGCAGCTGAATTCTGCTCAAAGATGTGGTTTCTCCTCCCTCCCCCCACCCCACCCAGGAGTTTCCTAGGTCACATTCCATGTTAGACCACATGTCCAGGATAGCATCTGAAATGATTTAGACTTGTAGCAAATATGAAATATTTGGGATGATAAAGTAACACGATGAAAAATCAGCTTTTGTACTGCTTTAAGAGAGTTCTGAACGATGACTACTTAGACCGCATAATGCCAACAGAGTTACCTCAAATAGAGTTTTGAGAAAGAGATAAAGGGTTCGAGTGAGCTCCTGTGGGAGAGCACATGCCTGGCCTTTTTAAGCTCTCAAGTACAGCACTAGAACCACAGGATGAATGTAGCCCCGGTGGTCCCCAAGCACTATTGGACTGAGTATCAACAAGACTAGCCCTGGACACCCTCAAGATCCACTAAATATGGCCCCTATTAAAATGAGGGAAAGACAACCCTATTTATTAGGGATGGCTAGGCTGCTTTGTGTTGTTACTGCCAAGAGGATGGACTTTTTCTGTTCTCCGCTAAGAGCAACTTCCCCTCGTGGGAGGCTGAGTGACTTACTTCAGACCCCCAGTTTCCAGGTCGCAATGCTGGAATCTCATCCTGTAACCTGCCCTATTTCTATAGGGTCTTTTTTTGCCTCTGTGGAGTTTGAGATATTTATCTTTGGTAACTCGACTAGCCAGAATTGTTCTAGAAGAGTAAGTTAAGAAGAAAACAGATGAGTGAAGCTACATTCCTAGACACTAACAACTCTAATAGGGGCAGGAGCTCCTAAAAGCTCAGAAAATTCTGTGTATCCTCTTGCTTCCTGTGGATTCCCACACAGAATCAGAAGGGGGGAGGGAAGGGCTTATGATTTTCTGCCATTGGTGTTAAGTGGGAGAAAATTCTAATTGTGCTCACCCCAGCCATGCGATCCATGCTGTACCCTAGGTGTTTGGACTGACCCAATGACTAAACATGAGCCCTGGAAGCCAAGTAGGTGTTTGTTCTATTTAAATTCCCATCTGCATCAATGCAGGGGGTTCCCTCATTCTGTCGCAGAAGAGATAAGAGGAACTGAATGAGAACTGAGCACAGGGAAACATATGTTCGGGGGTGGGGGTGGAAAAGCCAGGCATGCTGTGTTTGATGTGGTGGTCTGCATCACAAACGAGGCTCAACCTGGGGAATTCTAACCTGCGGAAGTGGGTGGGCTGGAGAGACCCCTCTGCTCCTTTGTCAAGTTGCCCTCCCACCCACACAATGGAAAAAAGAAAAACTCATTATGTGATTTGCCTTGGAAAATATAGACAAATGAGCAAATGCATGAAGGGCCATGTTTTCATGGGGTTTGCTCATGCATGCCTCCCCCGACTTCCCAGTGCAACAGGTGACATCAAAGCATTGTTGATGGCAGTGGAGGGTGGTAGGGCCCTTCTAAGGTCCATGTTCCAGCAGTTGCTATGAGCACAGGAGGCTGTGATGCGGTGGAGGGGAAGAAGGGTCCAGACTCCTCAACCCCGAGTGGCCATGGTGCTTTCTCGATTTGCGGCCTGCTCTGAGCTTCACACAGGGGCAAAGAGCTCAGGACACACAGTTCATTGTCGAGTGGGAACATCTCCTCTGTCCTGGGGAATTTTCTTTTCTTTTTCTTCCCTCTTTTGGGGCCACACGTGATGGTACTCAGGGCTTACTCCTGGATCTCTACTCAGGGATCACTTCTGGTGGTGCTGGGGCAAACATCTATCGTGCTGGGGATGGAGCAGGGATCAGTCATGTCCAGAGCAAGCACTTTACCTCCTGGGCTGTCTTTCTGACCCCAGAGTCAGAAATCTTTTGATGTTCCCAGTTAGATTTGGCGAATCATCAGGTTACTGGACTAGAAAGCAGGAACCCTGAGTTGCCCCACATCTAACTCCTGGGAGGTGGGGGTACAGGGAGGCAGGGTCTCTGCACACTTCCTGGGGGCATCTGAAGGGCCATGAGAAGCAGCCTGAGCTGGAGGGTCCCCGTGTGCAAGGGCCTCAGTCGCATCCAGTCAAGGGAGCAGCAGGCCAGACTGTCTGCTCTGGGGCTGAGTTTCAGCTCCATACAGTTAGAGGGCACCGTGCCATGAGCTCTGATGTAGGGCCACAGGGAATGTGGGGAAACCAGCATGGAGGGGGTCACCCCTCGTAGAAGAGGAATCAAAGCCCTGACCACTATCACAGAAGGTGGGAACAGAAGTGGCCCCAGGTCCCATGAGACTCGCCCTGTGGAACTGACAGATTTCCTGAACTCTTGACCACCCCCTCCTACCTCCAGACCTCCACAGTGCAACCCCACCACCACCAGGACTGGGAATGAAGTGAGGCAGAAGAAGTACACAGCAGCCTGGAGCCAAAGTGAGGGGGATTTGCTCAGGCCTTTCTCTCCTTGCTCATCTCCTCATCTGAGCCCTGGCCCATCATCCAAACACTCAACCATCAAGAGTCTGGCCAGCCCCACCCAGCTTCTGCGGCAAAGCTGACTTTCGATATCATGGATTAACTTGTGACATCACACCTTCTCCCTAGAATGCTTGCCCCCAGACCCCGTGATCCTTCCAGAGGAGAATTCTGTGAATTTTCACAAGACCAGAGAGAGTTAGTGTCCAGTCTTGGCAAGTTACATTCGAAACTCTCCTGTTTCCTCATTATTATCCCCAGGATCATCTCAGCTCACAGACCACAAAAAGCTGAAGTCCAGATTTCAGATTCATGTTTCAGATCTGACCCCACCAAGACCTAAATTGACACAAATTCTACTCCCTCGTGGGCCTCAATTTCCACCCCTCTCAGAAAATAAAAGGATAAAATCAGTTGCTCCCAAAGGTCTTCTAAAGATCACACCCAGCATCTTTTTGTGATGCTAAATATTTCCAAATCTTCCATTATGAAAATAGTAAGAGCAAGCCCAGTGAAGAGAAACATTAAGTGAACCTTTATGCCCCCATCACCATATGATGATTGGCACCTCCCTCCCTGCTCCCATCTTCACCTTGAACTCATGGGAGAGAGCTAAGCATTGTGCTGAAGAAGCCCAAACTTACCAGCGGGGCCGGACAGAGGCCTCTCGGGAGGTGCTGGTGTGGATCTCATGCTGTTGCCCATGGCTCGCTCTCGGCGGCGGGCTTGAAGCCTCTGGCACAGGAGACACGCAGGGAGTGGCAGCCAGGCACTGAGCCTTCGGGGTGGCAAGTGACCTAGTTTAGAGAACATTGTGCATCATTGTTCTGCTCCCGCAGCGTATGTCTTGCAAGGTGGAGTTTTATGTGAAGATGAGGTTGGTGAAGATTGGTAACATTTGTAGCACTCTGGGTCTTTTATCAAGGGAACTACAGAACAAAACCACAGAGAGGGAAGTTGCTCGCAAATGCTGTTGGTGGCGAAAGTTTCCATTCCTTCACCCTCCAGCTGAGAACAAGCAGTGCTGCCCTATTTGTGTGTGGGGTTGCCAGGAGTCTGGTGGGGGGCGGGGGGCTGGTAGCCTCTGTGAACCCTGATCCCCCACCTGCCACCCCCGGTGGTCAGAAATCTAGAGCACTTAAAGCTCAGGAGCTCTGGGGATTTTCTGGCAGTCAGGGAGAGGAGAAGGCTTATTGGTTTTTAGTTTTCCTGGTGCTGTTTGTTTATCAGCATGCATGTACACTGTGAGGAGAAATTGGGCCGTGGGAGACTTTGGCCCTTCTCAGACCTCTCATCAGCTGTTAGTGCTAATGACAGCAATATTCTTTCTTCCCTTCCCCCATTCCAAGAGGAAGGAAATGTCCCTGAGAGGGAAGAGCAGTTGTTTAAGGCCACGATCCCAGGAGATCTGGAGGCTCTGGATAGCTCGTGAGAGCCCCGGGGGAAACATTGGGGAAACACCGCTAGGTTCAAACTCTGGTTCTGAGTGGACAAACTCGATGAACTTGCAAGTTTCTTACCATCTAATGCCTCCTTTGGGGAGTAATAATAGAACAGTGTTGGGTCATGGCTGTAAAAAATAAACAGAGAAAACAAGACCCACAAAAGGGGCTGGAACAATAGCACAGCGGATAGGGCGTTTGTCTTGCACACGGCTGACCTGGGTTCGATTCCCAGCATCCCATATGGTCTCCCAGCACTGCCAGGAGTAATTCCTGAGTGCATGAGCCAGGAGTAACCCCTGTGCATTGCCGGGTGTGACCCCAAAAGAAACAAACAAACAAAAAACAAGCCCCACAAAATACTTAGTGTGTAACCTGGCATAAAACCCTTGGTTATTGCACTTCTGGTGTGTTTTCTGATTATTCAACTTGATGCCTAAGTCCATATACAAGTATTTTAGAAAGGGACATATATGGTCACAGAATGAAAGTGTCACCTCAGGCTGCTTGCAACAGGAGATGGTGTCTCCCAGACACAAAACTAGTTCTGCTTTATGGTGACAAAAAGAATGGAAGGGTTGAAGACAACCCGACAACCAGTGCTAAACTTTGTTTGAATCACGTAGTTCACCCCACTCTAGGCCCATGCTTTAAGAACAAGTTTCTTAGGACCTTGACAGGATTCTAAGATCAGCTGGTCCAACCCCTGCCTGGATTTCCTTCTCCCTGCATGACATATTGGAATTCTAGAGAAATGTGTACACTGAAAACAAGGTCTTGTAGAGTTCAGGTGAGGTTACACCACTTCTTTATTTAGGCAGAATGGAGAGGGTTTAGTTTAATTTATTAGGAAGTTGGGAAACACTGTTTTCTGAAATTTAATGCATTTTTACTTAGAAAGTTAGTGTGGATTGGAGCTGAGGAGACAGTTCAATGGACCAGAGCATATGGGAGTCTCTGATTTAATCTCTGATCCCATCCAGGCAATGCAGAGTTTCCTGAGCACCACCAGAAGTAACCCGTCCCTCATAAAAATGAAAACCAGTCACTGTATTTAAATATACACTCTTGCCAATTCTATTTACTTATTTTATTTATTTTTTTCTATTTATTTTTTTATTATTATTGTCAATTGTATTTATACCTCAGCTAATGGACTGCAATGTCATTGACATCAGTTAATCTTAAGGTCATTTCAAGGTCTGCAATAAACTACGAAACTCATAAAAACTGTAAACTCATAAACTACAAGCTCATGTTACCCCTCAGAAGATCAGGCCAGGTGTCCAGTCAGAGTGAGGTGAGAAAGTTGACTGCTTCTGTTCTTGTGTCTTTGTGACCAGAGACAAGGAGTGCTCTAAGAGCAAGCCCCTTTGCATTTGATGCTTCACCAACCCCTGCTGACTCCATTGTATCCCTATTCCCCACTCTACCTTAATAAACGCAGTCAAGGAGATACTATTAATAGCATTATCCCTTGCTCCAAGTGGCTAGAGGAGTTTCCTTTGTTTGAAGTGTTAGTATCAGCACTTAAAAAAACATGCTTCCCAAGGGGCATCCTATTCTTCCTATTCTCTCCATTCTACCCAGCACCAGGTTAGGGTGCTGAGTAGAATAACTGGACAAACGTGTCCTTAGCAGCCCTACCCTTCTCAATGGGCTTTTCTAGAAAGGGCCCTCATGTCAGACTTCCATGAGATACTACTATGGCATTCTCTGAGTCCCACCTTCTAATTTGTCATGAAGAAACAGAACCTATTGCCCTGCCCAGACAGAGCCAGCATGCTACCAGAAGCTGTTTACCCTGTGAGTGATGCAGAGAGCCTGTGGAGGCAGTCTTCTCCTGGAACCTCTCTGGAACCATCAGCAGCCCAATTCCCCTCACCCTACAGCTGTCACAATCTAGGTCTTTGGGCTTCAGAAACAGGCTCCCAGGATAGGATGGCCACATCCACGTAGTGATAACTCTGAGACATGGAGTTGGCCTAACCTCTCCTTTATCCATCCACCATAGTGTTTCTCATTATCATGTAACACTGTCACTCCCAAATGCCATTCATTCCCTGCAGCCTGTCACTGTTATGTAGGAAATCATTTAAACACCAGGGGTTGCCCTTTGGGGGTAAGGAGTATTCCTAAGCAGTGCTGGGGGCATCTAGCGGTGCCAGGAGCTGACAGTGCTTAGGGGTTCTGAGGCTACATCTGTCAATGGTGGGGAAGAAAGGAACTTGCAATTCTGGAGTTTAAGCCTAGGTCCTTGTACATTAAAGCCATGCCCCCTGATGCCTCTGCTGTCTCTTAAACCCCCAGGAATTGTCCTTTAACCCCACACCAGAGTGCCCAGGCAGGTTGTCTGCTCCCACCCCTGCAAATGTTCCACCCTTCTGGAAGCCACATCCCAGAAACAGCCTTTGGGAAGTCTGTTGCCCCTTTATTTCTGTCCCAACTCAGAGTGCTGGCTCAGAAATGGCTTTGCTGCCCCTCAGAACAATAACTTCACACCAACAACTGTGTCGTTCTGCTCTGGCATTTGTGCCCAGTTCTCTGCACAAGTCCCTCTCTGCTTCTTGCCTCTTCTGCCTTCTGGTTCAGGTACCCTCACCCTCTCTGAGAGCAGGGGCTGCCACAGGGCGGTGACAACGCCACCTTACCTTCTTTGTCAAAAAAAAAAAAACCCTACCAGTTTCCACAACTGCTGAGTGGTCGGCTCACTGGCATCTTCTGTTTCCAAGAAAGAGTTAACTTTTCTAAAAGCAATTTTACTTGGCAAGAGTAAAAATGTCCCCAGAGAAGGAGGACAGATTTCCTCTCCTGAAATCCCAGAACAATCTGATTTAATCGGTGACAGTTTTATGCTATAACTGGAAATGGGAGACACATAATTGCTCCTAGGAACAATCAAGAAAGCTCAGAAAAGAAGTGACATAATAAACATGGGTGCTGAGCACGCAATGGGTGCTTTGTTCCTGGCCTCTGTGATATCAAAAGGATAGGAACATGTCATTGCTTCTTTGCTCCCCTGGCCTGGTGACTAACACTATCGTCTTTGTCTTACATTGGGCTTTGTTCATCTTTCTGAGATGAGAAGGGCGATCTCTAAGGACAAAAAAACAGAACCCTTTTAATTCTAGCCATCAAGGAACCATGCCCTTTCAAATACTATTAAGAGTAGAAGAACTCTCATCTCTTTTCTTATGAAGAACCCTTAGGGTTTCAATTGTGTCCTTTCTTATCTCTTAAGTGCCTGTGTCCTGCCACCTTCCTGACCTACTGGGGTGCTCTTAGCAGCTGCTCTTGTCTTTATCTTCCCCATGGCACTGGGAAGTGTATATTCCTCTCTCACCTAATGAGTGTCAAGGAAAGCAGACCACTTGCCCACGAGCTATACAGAGCAGGGATGTGGGTTGCACACGGCTACCTCTTCCAAGTCAGAGGCCATGTCCTTTCCTAAGGGCTGCCTCTCTGTCCACAAAGAAAGTTCACAAGGAAACTCTGATCAGTGAAGTAACCTGGTATGGAGCAGTAACCGTCTCGCTGGAGTTACTCTCTGGAATGTTGAGGTGCCCACTGGTTGGCCTTTTCCCACTAGAGTCCTGATAAAGACCCCTGCATCATGCATGATCTTAATGATAGAAAAGGGCTGAATTCCCTGACTGTTCATTCCCTGGATGGCACTTCGGCCCATGTGAGGCAGATCCTCCTCTCTGAGCTTGCAAAGTGCTCCTGTTGGAGAGAAAAATGCCTCAGACCCTTTGCTGAATGCAGAGAGGCAGGACACCAGGCAGAGGAGGAAGACAGGTCTGTGCTCCAGCAAAACCAGGAACAGTAGTAAACCATGGCCAGTGATGACTCAGAGGAAAACATCTGTGGCATGCAAACTTCCCCTGGACCTCAGGAATCCCTCCCATTGGTGCAGCAGCTCTAATCCTGTACACATGACAGACATGCTGATCAGTGTGGGAGCTTGAAACCAGTGTGGGGAATTTCACTGTCAGACATACCTGAATCCCAACAGGAACAGAGATTCACAGAAACACCATGTCACCTGGAGATGAACCCTAACTTCCTTCTGCCTGACATTGGGCTCAACCTTTACTAATTATTATACCCAGATTCTTAGAACAGACCCTTTTCCTAGGTGAGCTTAATCAATGCATACTGGGGACTGGAAGTATTACTCAAGTGTTAGGGTGCAAGCTTCCATACTGGAGGCACACCCATGAATGCACAAACATATGTGCATGGGCATATGCACACGTTTCTCCAAAGTTATTATGCCAAATAAAAGAAGAGGTAAATCTGGTAGCTAGGGTTGTATCTAGTTTGGATGGACTCCATAACCTGAACATTTTTGG